CGGCCGCCGTGCGCGGTGTGAGTCCTGACGCGTGGCCAGATTTGGATTCATCTTGATTAGCATCTGATATGCATTCTTTCAGATCGCCACTGCAATAAAGATTCCTCCCTAGTCAGATCGCTGGAGAGGAATAGTTCAAACATTTTATAACTTTAATCGGTTGAGTTTTGACCCTGAGTGCTTTCCATTATCTCTCGTTGTCAGCAGGATACTGAAATTTCGCATTAGCTGTGTTCATTCAGCATCTCTCATTACCTACAAATCTCCATATAAATGACTTTTGGATTTGAATTCTGATGAATTTTTGCAGGCTGTATGATGATTGCTATAACATCTTTTACTGTTCGTTCTTACTTCACCTTATATGTGAATCTCACCAAAAGTTTCAATGCTAAGCTTGTCAGTGAAATCGCTCAACAGCACCGAGTTCATGAATTTTCAACCAATAATCATGAATTTTCAACCATCACTAATTGAACTGAAATGAAAACAGAGTCGTGATATGAAGACTGAAATAAACAAGGTCAGTATAAATGGCCGTCTTTCCCAGGTGCGTTTCATTTATACTAACGCATATAATGGGTTACGAACTCAGCACGAATCCGTCTAGATGTGTTATCGGAGTTGGCGGCGGAACACAGAAGTTCAAACTCATCAACCATTGCGATCGTGTTCTTGCTTACCATGTAAGCCTCTGCAAAGCCCTGAAATCATGCAGAGATTCTTGTAAAGTCATCACTGTCAGGTAGTAATCAACCCCGGCTCCAACTACTCAGTTCCTGAAAGTCAACTGTATGGAATCATTAAAGTCGGTTACACTGTTGATATAGACATTACCAGAAGGGTGAGCAGATTTTGGGTTGTTATGCGTCAAAGAAAGCATAATTTAGCCTGGCAAACCTCGACCAGACAAAATGATAATCCAATATGCATCAGTGGCAGAAGATGCAACAGATCCAAGAAAGCCATTCGCTAGCGGTGGACCCGTTGGTGAGATCACAGGCGAAACCATGCTGAAGCTGATTGCTGCTGAATAAATGATCTTAACAAATGTATTGAAGCTGCGTGACTACTTTCTCATCGCTTGTCCATACTATTCTTGCACAATAAAGCAGCTATACATTGTCTTGGAGAATATTGCAAAAATGAAAAACTAAGTTTACTGCAGTGTTTGTAATGGCAGAGAAGAACTGCGCTAGAAAAGCAGTTCCATCACTTAGGAGCGGAGTAATACACAGTTCAAAATATTACGCTGTCATTAATGGGATATAGTGAGTGCACTGCTTACTCAGAGTGGTGAAGACACATTTAATCGTCTGATTGTCTGCATGTACAATTCTAGATACTGCCATACCGCAAAGCACAATAATGGTCTTTGTCTGAAGGCAGATCCAGGCAACTAAGTATCATGCAAATTCGGTCTTGTGCCGACGATACTCTCTGTATAAGTCATCGCTTCAAGACAATGTCA